GGTTTCCGCCTGTCACAAGCGTCCACCGCGCCAGTCTCGCTCGCAGGCCACAAGCGTCCACCGCGCCAGTCTCGCTCGCGGGCGGTTTCCGCATGTCACGAGCGTCCACCGCGCCAGTCTCGCTCGCAGGCGGTTTCCGCATGTCACGAGCGTCCACCGCGCCAGTCTCGCTCGCGGGCGGTTTCCGCATGTCACGAGCGTCCACCGCGCCAGTCTCGCTCGCGGGCGGTTTCCGCATGTCACGAGCCTCCACCGCGCCGGTTTCCGCGTGTCACGAGCGTCCCCCGCGCCAGTCTCGCTCGGGGGCGGCCCGCGTATCTGACGTCCACCGCGCCGGTCTGGCTCGCAGTCTGGCTCGCAGGCGGTTTCCGCGTATCACGAGCGTCCACCGCGCCGGTCGCAGCTCACGGGCGGTTTCCGCGTATCGTGCGTCCACCGCTCAATCTCGCTCGCGGGCGGTTTCCGCCTGTCACGAGCGTCCGCCGTGCCAGTTTCGCTCGCGGGCGGTTTCCGCCTGTCACGAGCATGTCACGAGCGTCCACCGCGCCAGTGTCGCTCGCGGGCGGTTTCCGCCTGTCACGAGCGTCCACCGCGCCAGCCTCGCTCGCAGGCGGTTTCCGCATGTCACGAGCGTCCACCGCGCCAGTCTCGCTCGCGGGCGGTTTCCGCATGTCACGAGCGTCCACCGCGCCAATCTCGCTCGCGGGCGGTTTCCGCATGTCACGAGCGTCCACCTCGCTCGCGGGCGGTTTCCGCATGTCACGAGCGTCCACCGCGCCAGTCTCGCTCGCGGGCGGTTTCCGCATGTCACAAGCGCCCAACGCACCAGTCTCGCTCGCGGGCAGTTTCCGCATGTCACGAGCATCCACCGCGCCAGTCTTGCTTGAGGGCGGTCAAATTTCCGCATGTCACGAGCGTCCACCGCGCCAGTCTCGTTCGCGGGCGTTTCCGCATGTCACGAGCGTCCACCGCGCCAGTCTCGCTCGGGAGCGGTTTCGGCCTGTCACGAGCGTCCGCCACGCCCGTCTCGCTCCGTCTCGCTCGGGGGCGGTTTCCGCTTGTCACGGGCACCGCGCCAGTCTCGCTCGCGGGCGGTTTCCGAATGTCACGAGCGTCCACCGCGCCAGTCTCGCTCGGGGGCGGTTTCGGCCTGTCACAAGCGTCCCCCGCGCCCGTCTCGCTCGGAGGCGGTTTCGGCCTCTCACGAGCGTCCCCCGTGCCAGTCTCGCTCGCGGGCGGTTTCCGCTTGTTACGAGCGTCCACCGCGCCAGTCTCGCTTGGGGGCGGTTTCGGCCTGTCACGAGCGTCCCCCGCGCCCGTCTCGCTCTCGGGGGCGGTTTCGGCCTGTCACGAGCGTCCCCCGCGCCCGTCTCGCTCGGGGGCGGTTTCGGCCTGTCACGAGCGTCCAGTCTTGCTCGGGGGGCGGTTTCCGCTTGTCACAAGCGTCCACCGCGCCAGTCTCGCTCGCGGGCGGTTTCCGCATGTCACGAGCGTCCACCGCGCCGGTCTCGCTCAGGGGCGGTTTCGGCCTGTCACGAGCGTCCCCCGCACTCGTATCGCTCGGGGGCGGTTTCGGCCTCTCACGAGCGTCCCCCGCGCCAGTCTCGCTCGCGGGCGGTTTCCGCTTGTCACGAGCGTCCACCGCGCCAGTCTCGCTCGGGGGCGGTTTCGGCCTGTCACGAGCGTCCCCCGCGCCCGTCTCGCTCGGGGGCGTCACGAGCGTCCCCCGCGCCCGTCTCGCTCGGGAGCGGTTTCGGCCTCTCACGAGCGTCCCCCGCGCCAGTCTCGCTCGCGGGCGGTTTCCGCATGTCACGAGCGTCCACCGCGCCAGTCTCGCTCGCGGGCGGTTTCCGCATGTCACGAGCGTCCACCGCGCCAGTCTCGCTCGGGGGCGGTTTCGGCCTGTCACGAGCGTCCCCCGCGCCCGTCTCGCTCGGGGGCGGTTTCGGCCTTACACGAGCGTCCCCCGCGCCCGTCTGGCTCGGGGGCCGTTTTGGCCTGTCACGAGCGTTCCCCGCGCCCGTCTCGCTCGGGGGCGGTTTCGGCCTGTCACGAGCGTCCCCCGCGCCCGTCTCGCTCGGGGGCGGTTTCGGCCTGTCACGAGCGTCCCCGCGCCCGTCTTGCTCGGGGGCGGTTTCCGCTTGTCACGAGCGTCCACCGCGCCAGTCTCGCGCACCCAGTCTGCACCACACCGCCTTCTTCCCAGCCAGCCTCGTACGCCCGGTCCCGGTCTGCAGCACAACCAAATGGAAATCCCTTCTTATCTCCGTTGTCACAGCTTGTATCGCTCCCAGGCACCTTAAGAGAAAACCTAAAGCAGAACCCAAGCATCAGAGATGCTTTTGGGAAGAACTTTATTTCGAGGGGGTTTATTAATCAGTGCCAGCCCGCAACAGAACTTTAATTGGGGGAGGTTCTTTAATCATAGGTTGACATTAATTAGAATAATAATAATAACAATAATAATAATGACAACAATAGCAATAATATTAATAGTAATAATAATACAAAAAAACAACAAACACAATAATATAAACACGTTTTCGGTTTCGCGGCGGAGGAGGTGGAAGACCCGCGGCACCGGCGGCGCTGCGTGACCTGGCGCCTGCGCACGGCAGAGGAGCCGCGGAGCCGCGGCTGTTGCGTGGGTTGCTTCAAGGAACCCTGTCTCAGGTGCCATGTTGGTGGGAGGTAAGTCTACATACGAAACCCTAATCATCCCGTTAGGATTGATTTTTGTGCTTTTTGAGGCACTACTCTTTTCAGGCTTCAAAGGAGACCGAGAGGAAGAGCCAACCTGCAGGCCTACCCCAAACACCAAAATCTATCGAAATCCCACAAATGTCTCAACCCCCAAAAAAGCGAAAACACTAAAAGCCCCCAAAGCCCCAAAGCCCCCAAACCTGCCGAGCCCTCCCCCCCCCCCCCCACCCCGCAAAACCCCAAGCAACGGTAAACCTTGATGAAGAACCTCTGCTTGGGGATCCAATTCTCTGCAGGAATTGAACTCCACAATTTGCAGATCAATCTACCTGGTGGTGTTTCATCTTGCTGGCGCTCACTAGGGAATCACGTTTCCGGGTGTTGGGAATGAACGAGAAGGGGGTTCCTTTCAAAATCGGCGAATTTTTCCGCGGGGTCATTCCATGTGTCATTCTCTGCCAATCGAACCGATCGCACGTCATTTTGGGCTGTTCCAAAGTGAAGGACCCCGGGCCTCATGGGACACCCCGATCAAAACCCACCGAGGAGGCCAAGCGGGCGGCGGCGAAGAGTTGGCTGCGGCAGCCCGGGGCCTTCAGCGGCTCCTCGGGCGAAGCGGCGACGTCGCTTCGGGCGAAGCGGGGTTCGTTTTGGCGTTCACCGGGGACCCCCTATGAACTTTTGGGTTCCTGGATGGGGGAACCCCCTTGCCGTTTTCACGGCAACCCCCTTGGACGAAATGGCTTTGCTGGGCAGTCTTGAAACCTGGGGGGTTCCTCTTCTTTCAGCTGAGCTCTGGAATGGAGCTCCGCCGAAGGGGGTTCCTGAAGGTTTCGAGGTCTGGGCAGGAAGTTTCTGAATTCCATGGGGGGGGGCGGTGGGGGCCGGAGAATTTGGAGTCTGAAGAGCTTCCGGGGAAGCTTCCTGAAATGGAACCCTCGTAGCTTTGTTCTGCTTTGGTTGCAGAACCATTGGGAGGAGGGTTTCTAGAGGCTCGGAAGAGCTGCTTTGGGGGACCCTGAGATTCAAGCCCCGATACCAAAAATGGGGTTCACAATGCCATTGTTTATTCAAGGGATTGTCATAATCTAAATTGGGTCCTTGCCATTCCGTTAACGCGGGCTGAACCCTACGGTTCGGAATTCGGCCAACCAACTGAGGCTTGAAGCTGATCCCGCGCCTGGCGGAGATGGTGGTCACTGCGGTTACCTCTGGGTCCGCCGGGGCGGGGACGTAGCCTGGCCGCGTTTACACAAAGAAATGAACCTGCAAAGTGTGTGTGCTTGCCTGGTTTGTTTGTTTGCTAGTTGGCTCACTTGCTTCTAGGAAACGGCTTGGATGCTGTTTTTGTGGCTCCACCTCCGTAGGATAGCAAAAGAGTACTAAAAGAGTATTAAAAGAGGACCAACTGGTAAAACAACGCGGGGAATCCACAGAAAGCGCATGTAATCCGTTTGCTGGATTGCTTGTTTGTGGGTGGGTGGGTGCTTGTGTGCTATGTGTTTGATTACCGGTTGTATCTTTCGTGTGATGTAAGGGGGCTACTCGCAAACATTCTTCCCCTGGGAACACGCTTAATTTGGTTTGATCACACCCCCACACCTCGTTCTAATTATCTAGGCCCTTTCAGTGGTTAGCTTGTTTAATGTATTGTCTTTCTTTGGTGTTGGCTGGGTCCGAAACAAGTGTTTGGACACTTAAACCCCTGACGTTTGAAGCAGTAGGGGCTAAAACTCGGTCTAAACCTATGAAATTATAAGGTTTGATTCCCCCTTCTCTTCACTCATCAGAGCTAGAGCTACTGAAAACGCCGCGGAGAACATTCGGGTCACCTGCTGTGGCAAAGATTGGTGGCTGAGAGGTGAGCGACTGCCAGTTAGGCGTCCGGTTCCTTAGGGTTTTAGTTGTTTGAAGTTGGTTTCGTGGTTGGGTTTCCATTCAACTCACTAAAAGTTAGTCACTCTTAGCAGGGCATCTGAGGACATCCGAGAAGTATTTTTATGGGTTCGAAGCTGTGCCTGGCATGTTGCTCAGGGTCATCAAACCTTCAACGGGCAGTTTTAGTGAGTTTTACTTGCCTGCTCTTTGGGCTTTTGGAGTCTCTAGGTTTCCGGCATGTCAATGATGTCAACCAAAGAGTCCCGAGCTAGGGAGTGCGACTCGGTCCCCCCCCTTCCAAAAACTTTCTAAGGAGTTGCTAAGGACCTGTCCTCGGCCCCTTTTGGTGCTTTAAAACATTTCCCTTTGGGCCAATTCAGCTTTTGGTGGTGTGAGGTTACAGAGAGACCTGGTCAGCCATGGTCGTGCCGGGGGGGTTGGGGGGGCTCCGCAAGGCTGGGCCGCTTCAGGCTGATGGTGTGCGAGTCTCCGGGCCGGTGCCGCTTGGGAGAACTCTACCTTTGACATCTGGCCGTTGCGGATCTAAATGAATTTTTGTAGATCCCTAGGTGGTTATACCGACACTTGATCTTCACATATACACATGTACACACTACGAGTAATACAAGGTCCTACTTTCCTACTTGTCACTATCACTGCATTGTTTCTTTGGTTTGATGAGTGTCTGAATGGCTCCTCAGCGGAAGGAACACGTGCGGCCTTTGTGGGGCTGTTGATTCTGACTGCGTAGATACTTGCAGAAGCAATTGGGTTTTTGCATTTTGTTTCGCAAATACGCGTGATCCACACAGGCATTCAATTGCTGCGATGCATGCTTTTTAACCCCAGGATTTGGTTTCCCTTTTGGGAAACTAACTGCCTCTAGGGCATCTTCATGTACCTTGGGGTAATGAACAAACCGAAGCCTCCTACATAGCCAAGTTGCTGCTTTTTACCAGACCCTTTGCCCTAAAAACAGTCAGAGGAAAAAACAGAGGAAAACAACTAAGCAAGATCATTGTCAACAACATTGTCAAAGTTGCGCCCACGGTCATTTGGAGGCCGAACAAGGGAATATTGATCAACCCTATAATAAAAGTAGTACATAACCCCTATACCTCCAAACCCCCTCTCGCTGATGCCGAGAACCAAAGGCTTCAGGTTTGCCCCCGAGCGCGGCGCTCACATGGCCCGGCCATGTGCCAACTCAGCCGAGGCCAGGACCGCAAAGCTTTGGTGCTGACGGACCAAAGCTGCGAGCAGGGCCGCCACTGCCTGAGCACAGGTTACGAGGCGAATGGGGGAATCAAGCTATACAGCGCATGGTCAAAAGAAAAGGTTCCTTTTCTTGAGGTTGATAGGGAATAATTATAATGATTCCTACTCAGACAACCATGACCATAGGCCATGTAAGGAGTTGTGACCATGGCTCACGTAGGCCTTATACAGGCTTCTTGGTAGAGCCAAATGGGTGTTGCACGTTGCGCGCTTGCATGGTTTTGATGTGGTGGGGGTCAGGGGGGGGGGGGGCATATGTTAAATACTCCCCCGAGCAAACAAGTGCAAAATAAACCCTAGAGTGTCCATCAGTTTGTTCCACCGAGTCACGCTGTCGGATTCGTTGATGAGATAGAGAGCACTGTCATGTTCTTCATGAACCCTTGACTAAAAAGGTGCTTTTGGACCCTGCGGAGTTTCCCTGCGGAATCGTAGGGGTTGGGGGTATCTGTTCTTTTGCTGCTTTTGTTTTAGGAAAATCAAAGTTACCTTACCCCGGGTCGCTCCTAGTGACCCTAATGAACCGGTTGGGGAATTCGGATTTTCCGTAGTTTTCCCGCGTTTGCTTTAGGGACGTCGAGTTTCCTTACCCCTAATTGCTAGCTTGGAGGTTGGGGGGTACCTTTGATTTGGTTGTACGAGGACCTGGTTCACTTCACAACCACCCCGCAATTTGATGCAAGGGACACCGTTCGGGCATCCAACCATTTCGCAATTAGTATCAGAGGCTAAACAAGTACTAAGATTACTTTTCCCGTGGTCAAATATTCCGATCGTGCTCCGAGACGTTTTTTTTCTCCTTTTTTTTCTTTGAAAAAGTTGGTCCCTTTGAAACGAAGCAACAAGAAGCCCAACCAACGGGGGACGTACGAAACCCCGCAGGCCACCTTTGTGAAGAACATCATGCTGCCTTCGAGCTTCCGCCGGAGTCCTAGTCCGGGAGGTGGGGGGGGCTGTCCCTGAGAATTTGGCGGCTTTAATGCTGTGGGTCAAAACCAATCACTACCCATTTTAGTCTATTTTAGTGGGGATTGGGAGGCTCACTAGGGGTATGACCCGCAGCCGTATCCTTGGACTCTGGAAACTTTGAGGGTCTTATGACTTGCATATCACCCACAGGGAAGAGCCGCCAAAACCGCGCAGGGTAGTTTTTGAAACTAGCTTCTTCTAAACGTCACTGGATTCCCGCCTTCCCGAAGAATGGAGTTGGCAAAGCATCAGCCCATCCCTGCAAGAGCCGGAGTGGAGGGCCGATCGGGGCTACGACCTTTTCTCATGAATGGTTTTCACCTGCATTGCTGCCAACAAAATATCTATATGACGTGGGTTGAGCATCAAGGCCCCGCTTGCCAAATCGAACAAGCGGCCGAGGCTTGCACGGGGTGCGGGTGGAGACGGTGGGATCCTCCGTTTGGTCCGTGGACAGCCTGCAGGCGCATCCCACGCCCAATTCCGATTTTTTCGGGCTTCGCACAATAGATTAGTTTTTTGTTTTGTTTTATTTGTATTTTCATTTTTTTTTTGGGGGGCTTCCTTTGGGCTTTCCAGTGCAATAGCCCAAAGCAGGTTGTAAAACACAGACGCGCAACCCCAAACTGCTTTTCGGCGCGATTTTTCATATTGGGGATGTCGTGGAGATTGTCATTGAGTGATTTGAGTTCAGGATGTCATTGATGTCACTTTCATGGACCCGGGTGTTGGTTGATGCTTTGGCAACAGTGGTTTACACCGTCTGTTAAAACGGTTGGTCGGGCCAAGCGGAAACTCTTGTTCTGTTGGGTTGTGAGCATGGCTTTCAGGGGTTAGTCTAGGTTGTCAAACATTGCTCAGGTGGGTCTACCCCGGGTTTGATTTGTGAGCGATTTCCTTGTTTGTTCATGGCTTGTTCTCGGAACCCGGTGTACCTTGAAACGGCCATGGGTCAAATCCCATACCCCGAGAGAACATCCCAATCCCACTAAAATAGACTAAAATGGGTGGGGCACCTACCCCAAAATGGGATCCCATCGGTTTTGACAACAGCCAAATGATCCAATTTTCCCGGGTTTGGGGGTCCAAACCACGAGCTTCCTAATGGCGGCGTTTTGTCCCCTGAGGTTTCCCCCTTTCTTGGTCCTGAAGTTGCGGCTCATCGGGGTTCCACTAGATTGATCAACTGAGTTGGGGAACTCCGGTGACATAGCGCGGATGGGCGAAATTTTGCAAGCCGGGGGACTCTTCGCGGGGGAGATTCACCAGAAACCAAGTGGGGTGGTCATCCAGTTGCCGCCTTGGGCGAATCGACCGGATTTGAACTTTTGATTTTCCAGGCGTCCATATTTGGTCACAAGAGGTGAATCACCTCGTATTTCCGGGTTCTGGCAAGTGAGGGTAACCACCCATTTGTATGTGAGTGTGTCCTTTTTAAGGGGACTCCCCCCCCCCCAAAACAAAGCAAAAAGACAAAAACAGAACAAAGGAGTGGTTTTCCTCTTGGTTTCTCTTAAACACTGCCACAAAAAGGGTGTTTACCCTCCGAGAAAAACAAAGAAAGAGGCCCACACTCAGAGGGAGCTGGCTCTCAGCATCTCTCAGCTTCCGCTTCTCTGGTTTTCAGGTGCGCGTGGACGGGCAGAAGGGCCGCTTCACGGGTCCCGCGGCGGTGGCGAAGACGCGGCCGCTCTTCTTCTCCGTGGGCTGCGTGACCCAGGCGGTTTGGGGCGCTTCGGGCGGGCCAAGCGGGGTGCCGGTGAATACACCTGTTCGCACTGCCTGAGATCCTGGACTTTCGAACCACTTTTTGGGTTCGGACCGTTTTAGTGGCAAACAAATAGTTCACTCCCCGTTTCTTTTTTATGCGGGAGGGTTCCCCTACAACAACAGACTACAGAAAAAAGGGTACCCTTGCTCTAACCTCTCCACAGCAGGACCTAGCCTTGACTTTAGTCACTTTTTGGGTTTGGACCATTTTAGCGGCAAACGAGTAGTTCCAGGACTTCTTCTGGCCAGTCCACTCAGGCAGCGAGGTTAGCCGCTTTCACGATGAACTCCTCTTGAACCCTTTGCTCAGACGGTAGTGGAACACCCGTTCTGTCTTCTTTTCGCCCCTTGCTTTCACGCGGGATTCGATGTTTCGCCCAGCCCGCATGGTTGTCTCAAAATGGGAAGCTATCCCGACGATCGATGTTTTTCCGATTTTTGAAACAACCTCAAGGGTACCCAGCATAGGCACCCGCGGAAGGTACCTCTTACATCAGTTTCCTCTTGAAGGGACCATTTCAGTCTGTCGCTAGTTGCAGGGTAGATGGTGTTAAGAAGGGGAACCAACAGGAAAGCCACCATTTTGGGCCATTTTTGGTTTTAAGAAGGGGAACCAACAGGAAAGCCACCATTTTGGGCCATTTTTTTTGGATACCGGATAACAAAAGACGCACATACTTCCGTCTTTGGTCATGGTGAGGGTACCTCTTGCCCTAAAAATCGACTCCGACACAAAGGCGTCGGAGCTGAGTTCGGTGCCGGCGGGCACCCCGTGCCTCTGGCCGTGTCTGGGTGCTTCGACCGCGCAGAAGTACTGCTACGTGGACGAGGCGTCCGGCTCCGGCTCCGCGCGGGTCGTCGTTTTCCTGACGCAGAAAAATGGAAAAAGGAAGCAACCCACTGGAGGTGTTGGTGTGCCTAATGTTGAGTTCGACCTGATCAACACGGTCCGGATTAGTCTGAAGTTGACATTAAGGGTTGTTCTTCAAGCTGATCAACTACAGTAATCTGGAGGCTGATTTACCAGGTTCCTTTGAATCAACAATCAATTTTACTTCAACCTCTTAGGGAACAGCACCGATTTGCGGATTCTCGGATCTACTCGGACTTTTCGTGTGTTCGGGAGAGGAGAGGTATGGATATTTTTTCGCCGAACAAAAAGACCAGGAGTAGGGTTTCAAATGGTTGCTCAAGCAGAGTTGGGCTTTGACATACGCTCTCCTACACACACACAAGACACGCAAGCAACCATTGGAGGTTCACTTAACGGCGTGACTCACAGATCGAGCGAACAGCCAACATGGCTGATAAGCATGGAGGCGCGAGCGATTTTTCTGTAGATTATGTTAGACACTGTCGTCTTGGGCCCAATGGGCTGCACAATTGATGAGGCGCAACAACGGTTGTGCGGAGTTCGCATCCGGATCATCAGCCAAAGGGACACCCCATAAAAGCCAAGGGTTGCTTCCTTGCTTGCCGCACTTGCGCTGTCAGGAGAAGAAGAAGTGGGGCCACTTGGCCTGGAGTGCTGGGGTTCCGCTTGCAGTGATTGGCCAAGGGAGGCCCGTACTTGGATGTTCGGCCGAGTGGGTTTTTTGTTGGCAACCTGAGCAATCATCCACTCTGTCCTCCGTTCAGTGGGATGAACCTGGTTTTTGGGGGAGTGAAACCTCTGGGTGGCTAATCACCTGCTAGCTTGGCCGAGCATCCAAGTAGCCATTGGGATGAAAGCACCTCTATCCACCAGAACGGTTCTCAAAGAAGGGTTGTGGGGCCCAATTTTGTGTACTTCCCCAGTCAGAAGGGGGGAGTTTTATGTGTTTGAGAAAATTTTGGCTCGTCCTCGGGACTGGGGGGAATCGCTGGATTTGGTGGAATTGGACTCAAACTTGGTGGCAGGATGTAGTGGGCATACTTTCGCAACCATGCAAATCATGTCCACCAAGGAGTCCCTTGAATGTGTTTCAAAGTGGGTTTTGGAGCTCACATCTCAGCGCTTTGGTTTTGGTTTCCAATCAAACGACATGCAAAAGGTCTTTTGGGAAGCTCCCGAAGGAACGGATCGCCTTGAGGTTTGCGGAAGAGTTCCTCCGTGATGCAAATGGGGAATCTGCCTTCCAAGTGACGAATTCTAGCAAAAGGGAGGTTCCCTTTGTCCTCTTTTGTTCCACGGGAGCACCCTTTTTTCACTAGGTCGAAAGGTAGATGTGCGGCTCCTTGACGGGCGAAACCGCAAGCCCGCGGCTTTCACGAAAAGAGGACACTCTCCCCAAACCACCTGAGCCACAATCAAAAAACCCGGGTAGATGAATGTTAGTAAGGGGCAGTCCCAGCCAGACAATAGTTGCGGCCGCCTTCCTAATTCTTTACATGGTTCTGGGTAGACCATCGTAATACCGGGTTTTGATTGTGACTCACCTGGTTTGCAGGACGCCCCGGACCATCACCGCCCTCCGGCCGAAGCTTAGGCTACTGCGCGCCCGCCTGCGAGACGAAGAGCACGGAGGACAGCCAGGCGACCTTGCGGGCGCCGCTTGGGTGGAGAGACCGAGGTATTTTCGGTTTGTTGGCAAGGGGTTCTCCGGTACTCTGCTGGGTAGGCAGACTTCAGACTTTGTTTAGCCCAGCGTTCTTCATCTTTTTCGCCAATGCTCGAGAAGTTCGAACTTCTCCAGTACTTGGTGGTTAAACTAGCCATCCGCTTCCTTGTTTAAAGCTTTTTAGTTTGTTTAGTGGTTGGGTTTCCGTATTTAAGCCATCAAAAGTTAAACTTTTAGCAGGGGATCTGAGGGCAGCCCAGAGTAAATCTACATTGGGTCTAATGACTTTTCTCCATGACATTTGGGGTTTGCACATGTTTGTTGGCTTCTCTGCCTTATGTCTGCAGTTGCTTCGGGGGCGGAGGGAGTAATCCAGATTTGCTGGTGCTGGGAAGGAAGTGAAGGGCTAAGGAGCTGGAAGTATCCAACATTTGCCTGTTTGTGGAGCATCTTGTGGATTTTTTCGCCTTGCTCCTCAACTAAAATTTCAAGTGCATTTCCCAGTCTTTCTCAACTTGCTATCCTTGCTTTCTTCTTCTGCTCGTGTTGGATTTCTGTGTGCCTTGCCTTGGTTCGGAGCTACCAGGAGTTCTGTACGGGCATGGTAGTTTGCGCCTTCTTCCTGCTCCAAATACAATTTTCTTATTTTTAAGGTTATTATGTTGACCCGGGAAAGGCGATGAAGATACTTACTCTGGCCCTAAACAAATGGGCTTTCGGAGTAGGGTTTTCAAAGTGCTGTCCACTTTGAGTAGCGGGAAACCGCACGTTGTTTTCTTTGTTCTTCTTCGAGGTATGCCGATCAGAACAAAGAGCAGCTCTCTTCCGCGGCCTTTCCGGGGTGTCCTAATTGTGTCCGAGTGTGGAATAGCGGTTGTCCTTTCAAACGATAGGATCGAGCAATCGCCCACCAGCGTCTGACCCAAGTGGGCAACGATGAAGGTTCACCGAAATCCTGCACCACCTAAGAAACCCCTGTTATCCTGTAATATCCACAAACCATGGTTTCCCATGGTTTCAAAGTGGTGCGAAATGGACTTCGCCCACCCACAGCATGAGCGACGCCCCGCCGTTGGGGTTTTTGCTGGTTTCGCCGGCAGATGAAGTCGGAGCTGACCTGCGCCGAGCTGAACTGGCCCACCCGCGCCTCGCTCGGCTGAAGCCTTTGGTTCGACGTATGGGGTTTGGAGGTATACGGGTTATGTACCACTCAAATACGCGATATGTACTACGTCGGGAAAACCAAAGGGAGACACGTTCTACGGTTTTTTGGGTCCCTTTGTTTGAAAACTGCTTCTTCCTGCCGCGCGATTCACCCTCAAACTCTTCCTTGGCTTCTGATTTTGAGACTCCCATACTGTGGATGGACGAAAACACACTTTCACTCAAGAAACCCCCTGGTGTCTGATTCGATTCCCGTACAATTACCAACAAACGTTTTGGTTTCAACCATGGTTTCAAAGTGGTGCAGGGTTTTGCCCATCCACAACGTGAGAGGGTACTCTCCCATCTAGAAATGTTTGGAAGTCACTGGAGGCTTTCTTGTGGAAACTTGCCTAGGTTTCAGTTTCAGCCATGGTTTCATTCGGTGGTGCGAGACGCGGATGTCGCAACCATCGGTCTGATCTGCAGGCTCCAGCGCCAACGACGACGGAGCCGTGTGCGCGGCCAGCGACGAGGCGCCTTTGAAGGGCTGCAGCGGGGAGGTGCCCTGGAGCACGGCGCAGCGGAACTGCAAGGCGAGACGCCAAGCGCCGCGCCGGTTTTGGGCGGGGGAGAAGGGGGGGAAGGGGGATGGTGGTGGACACTTGGGGTCGAGTTTTTGGAGAGAAGCCGTTGGTTTCTGGATGTTTCTTTGGGTTCATTGCTTTGTGTAGAGGTTGCTTTTTGAGTTTTGTGCTGTTTTTGGCGAGTTTTGTTTTTTCTTTTTCGGAGCGGGAGAAGCCTTTAAAAATCAATTCTCAAAAATGGCAGCACGCATTTTTCGCTTTTTGGGAAGGGAAGATAAATGTGAAATCAGGTGACCCTTTCTGTTCAGGGTTTAGCTTCAGGGGTGGGGGCAGTTTTTGGCGTGCCTTTTTCCCGGAAGCATTGCGAAGGGTTCTTCTTCTAAAAGCGGCTGCCAACTTCACCTGCCAACTTCTCATGCCAACTTGTCGAGAGTTACTTCACCTGCCAACTTCTCATGCCAACTTGTCGAGAGTTACTTCACCTGCCAACTTCTCATGCCAACTTGTCGAGAGTTACTTCACCTGCCAACTTCTCATGCCAACTTGTCGAGAGTTACTTCACCTGCCTACTTCTCATGTCAACTTTTTGAGAGTTACTTCACCTGCCAACTTCTCATGTCAACTTTTCGGCTGTTATCTCATTCTACTAAAAGCACAAGCTAATTTGTCGGGTGTTACTTCACTATCCTAAAAACACAAGCTAACTTTTCTGTTCTACCTTCACATCTCGACTCTTAATTCTTCTTCTTTTTATGGCGGGGGTAGGCCCGACGGGAGCTTACGAAACGCACCCCTCTGCGGAGATCGTGCGTGTCGAAGCGCTCTCGCTGTGGCGCCGTGCGAATTTGTCTTGAGCCGGCGAACCCTCTGCGGAGATCGTGCGTGTCGAAGCGCTCTCGCTGTGGCGCCGTGCGAATTTGTCTTGAGCCCGATGAACCCTCTGCGGGGATCGTGCGTGTCGAAGCGCTCTCGCTGTGGCGCCGTGCGAATTTGTCTTGAGCGCGGCGAACCCTCTGCGGAGATCGTGCGTGTCGAAGCGCTCTCGCTGTGGCGCCGTGCGAATTTGTCTTGACCTTGGCGAACCCTCTGCGGAGATCGTGCGTGTCGAAGCGCTCTCGCTGTGGCGCCGTGCGAATTTGTCTTGACCTTGGCGAACCCTCTGCGGAGATCGTGCGTGTCGAAGCGCTCTCGCTGTGGCGCCGTGCGAATTTGTCTTGACCTTGGCGAACCCTCTGCGGAGATCCTGCGTGTCGAAGCGCTCTCGCTGTGGCGCCGTGCGAATTTGTCTTGAGCCCGATGAACCCTCTGCGGGGATCGTGCGTGTCGGATCGCTCTCGCTGTGGCGCCGTGCGCATCTGTCTTGAGCCCGATGAACCCTCTGCGGAGAAAGCGCTCTCGCTGTGGCGCCGTGCGATTTTCTTGCTCGCGAAACGGCTTTTGGAAGTTGTCTCGTGGTGTGCGCGCCTGCTTTCGCAATCCCGCGGTCCCGGGTTCGATTCCCCCCTGGTCCGCGGCAGCTCCGGCTTGAAAATCGCAGCTTTTAAGTACAAACGTAGTACGCGGAGCGTGCTCCTGCAGCTCCGGCTGGAAAATCGCAACTTTTAAGTACAGACGTAGTACGCGGAGGCTGCTGCAGCTCCGGCTGGAAAATCGCACTTTTTAAGTACAGACGTAGTACGCGGAGCGTGCTCCCGCAGCTCCGGCTGGAAAATCGCAACTTTTAGATACAAATGGCTGGAAAATCGCAACTGTAAATTGCAAATGTAGCACGCGGAGCGCCTCCGCCGCTCCAGCTTTTTGAGGGTTAATTACTTCACCTGCCAGTTTCTCATGCCGAAACTTCGAGAATTACTTCACCTGCCAGCTTCTCATGCCACCTTTTCGAGAGTTACTTCACCTGCCAACTTCTCGTGCCAACTTTTCGAGGAGTTACTTCACCTGCGAGCTTATCATGCCAACTTTTCGAGAGTTACTACACCTGCGAGCTTCTCATGCCAACTTTTCGAGAATTACTTTACCTGCCAACTTCTCATGCCAACTTTTCGAGAAATACTTTACCTGCCAACCTCTCGTGGCAACTTCACCTGCCAACTTTTCGAGAATTACTTCACCTGCCAACTTCTCATGCCAACTTTTCGAGAAATACTTTATCTGCCAACCTCTCGTGGCAACTTTTCGAAAAATTACTTCACCTGCCAGCTTCTCATGCCAACTTTTCGAGAGGTACTTCACCTGCCAACATCGCCTGCCAACTTTTCGAGAGTTACTTCGCCTGCCAACTTCTCGCGCCAACTTTTCGAGAATTACTTCGCCTGCCAACTTCTCATGCTAACTTTTCGAAAGTTACTTCACCTGCCGGCTTCTCACGCCAACTTTTCGAGAGTTACTTCACGCGCCATCTTCTCGTGCCAACTTTTCGAGAATTACTTCACCTGCCAGCTTCTCACGCCAACTTTTCGAGAGTTACTTCACCTGCCAACTTCTCATGCCAACTCTTTGAGAGTTATTTCACCTGCCAACTTCTCATGCCAACTTTTCTCTTGAGTTACTTCGCCTGCCAACTTCTCATGTCAACTTTGCGAGAATTACTTCACCCGCCAACTTTGCCAGCCAACTATTCGAGAGTTACTTAACCTGCCAGCTTCTCATGCCAACTTTTTGAGAATTGCTTCGCCTGCCAACTCCTCATGCTAACTTTGCGAGAGTTACATCAACTTGCCTCTATGCTTCCGGGCCACTCGTCGTCTAGTTGTTGGGTTGGGGGGGGTTACTTTTTGAGGTGCAAAAGGGAACACAAAAGGGAGCCGCTGGCTATTTGGTGCACCCCAAATAAGATTAAACATAGGGGGTCATGTACTCCTAAAAGAGCCGAACCTTTTGGTTTCAATTCCCTCGTGGCAAACAACAAATAGATCTCTGAGGTTCGGGCTGGGTTTTGTGGGGGGTGGGTTGCAAACTTGGTTTACAGGTTTAGCAAGGGAAGCAGAGGGGCCCTTGAGCGCGTTAGATTGATCATCACGGGCTGTGAAGCGCGACATGTCTGATGTTTATTTCCTCGTGGTTTTTATGCGGACTTGCTGGTTGACAGCCATTCCGTTGAGATGCGAGTGTCGAAAAAACGATCAAACACCACGATTTCAGGGTCCGTGAGCCACTGAGCATCGGTCATGTGGTTTCAATTTCCCGACCGAACTGCTGCCCCGAGAGCCGTGGTCATAGGAGAATGTTAGCACTTGTTTTAGTTGTTTATTGCTTTTAATGCAACGGGAGAAGCGAACGTTCCATATGAATTCTGAAATCATCATTCAGGCCCTCATATTGACGGCCCACGACCAACACCGCCGTTTCGCGCGTGCCGTGCTCGCCGCTTCGCGCTTGCCTCAGGAGGTCGGGGCCAGACTGTGCACCCGGAGCGAGCTGGAAGCGGACGAGGCGGCAGGCGGGAGGGGAGAAAGCTGGGGGGGGGGGAGGGAAATGGGCGCATGTCAGCTACAGTTGGGTGAAAGTAGGGCAGGGCAACGTAGCAAGTGGTTATAACCGTGGCTATTGCCCACCTTACTCACAGTACGGTGCCCCCGCTTTAAGTAGATGGCACAACCTCCCTCATTTCGCTTTGGTCATCCCCTTTCTTTGCCCACATGTAGGGATTTGTGGCATCTACTTTTACCCTGTACGTCCGGCGAGTCTTGAGAGGTCACCAAAGGCTTTCAGAGAGCAAATGACAAGGCGGCGGTTGTGTTTGGTTCCGATAAATGTTTACATGGTAAAATGGATACGGTGTAGCCATTTTGGCAGAAGGCGTTTGTGTCAGCTAAACCAGTCTGCCTGTCAGCCATGGAGGTAATGGACGTGCAAAGCAATCGTGCCATGGCTGGAGGTGTCTTGACCCTGGCAGTAGCCATCTTTGTCCTTGTCGCTTGGGCACGGGTGCTGCTCCTGCGCACCAAGCTCGCAAGGGCCAAGACCACAGCGGCGCCAAGTTTGCTGGTCAAGGACCTGGTGGACGATGTGGTGCGTGAGGAGGAGCTGGTGGTGGTGCTCAGCTGCTACCGGGAGACCCAGGAGGAGCTGAAGCACAGCTTAGGCACCGTGGGGTTTCAAGCGGGGTACTCCGACCTTCCGCGGACCTTCCGCGAGACGTCGGCGTCGGACGTTGGCCCGGCGGTGCGCGTCATGATCTTCCTGGACGGGCTGCAGGGCAAGGAGGAGCAGGTGCTCCAGTTTCTCAAGGCCTCCAATGAGGAGGACTTTGAGAGCAGCACTCGGGCGCCCAGCAGCTCTGGCAGCTCAGCCGGCCGCAGCCCGCGGAGTGAAGAGGCATCGCCGCTGGCCAAGGAATCTGACTGGGGGGAGGACTTTGCGACGCTGCAGGCGATGAGCGGTTTGCTTTGCTTGAGAAATCCGGAGCGTGTGCACGGCTGCGTGCGGGTGCAGGGGGAGCTCTCATGCAGCAGCCGCGACGTGCCCTTCGAGCTGTACATCAAGACGAGCTGGGCGCGGTCTAAGCGTGCCAGCCAGGCGCTGTGTATGTCCCTCCTGCACAGCGCCCCCAAAGCGCCCTCAGACGCGGAGAGCGCAGACGTGGAGAGCGGCCCGACAGCTTCTGGGCCTCAGGCGCTGCTGCTGCTGGACGGGGACTGCCGTGTGGAGCATCGTCACTTGCCCGAGCTCTACCACTGCCTGCGGGACCAAAGGCTGGCGGCCTGCGGCCCGTTCATGCTGGCGGAGAAGCGGACCAGCTTCTGCCTCTTGGTCCAACTGGTGCGGGACTGGGCCTCCCAACGGATCTTGTGGCTGGGCCAGAGCGTGTTCCGCTTCCAGGCGCCGCTGAACGGGTCCTGCGCCATGTACTCCATGGAGGCCGTGCAGGCTGTGCAGGAGCACTTCTGCCGGGCTGTGCGGGAGGACTCCATGCTGGACAACATGCGCATCGAGATGGGGGAGGACAGCTTCATGACCAACCTCGTCCACGAGCACGTGCAAGAGAGGGTGCACGGGGTGCACGGGATCCGGTTCATGCCCCAGGTCCACGCCAGCTCGTTCATGCCTGAGACCTGGTTGGAGTACCTGGCCCAGCAGTGCCGCTGGAAGCGGTCCCACCTTGGGAACCGCAGCGCCTTGCTGTTGAACCCCAAGGTCTGGTGCTGCAAGCCTTCGCGCTGGCCCTTCTGGCTGGTGCACGTGGCCTCCTTCCTCTGGACGCCCCACCTAGCCCCGGCCACCTTGACGCTGTGGTTCTCCCATTTGGCGGCCGAATTCCTGGAGGATGCTGGCCTTGGCCGCGGCCTCGGCGCCGGCGTGCATGCCGCGCTGTGGCTGGTGATCTGCCTCTACGCGGCGCTGTCGGCCGGAAGCTCGGTGCCATCGAAGCCGAAGATGCACTCGGCCTTCATGGGCTTCTTCATGGGCTTGGGCGCCCTGCAGATGTTCTTTCTGGCCCACCGGAACCTCTGCTTCGCGGCCATGCCCCTGGCCATGTCTGTGGTGCTGCTGCTGCTGCAGCTGCCCCATGGCCTGAGGGCGCCCTGGGCGGGTCTGCTGGTGCTGGCCGTCCCCTTGGCAGCCTTCGTGGAGCTGGTGCAGCAGCCGGTGGTGGCGGTGGCCAACGCGGACGGGGTCAGCGCCAAGTGGGCCACCCGCGAGAAAACGGAGGGGAAGATGCCCGAGGCTAAGGTGGCGGTTGAGGATTGGCGCAAGCATGCGATGGCCATCCGTTCCTGGAGCCGTTGGATTTTCCTCACGGCTTGGCTCTTTGTGAACTTTGGCTTGGGAGCGGTGCCCTTGAGGCTGGGCTACTCCGGGCTGGCGGGTTCTATGGTGGCCTCGATGCTGGTGACCAACCTGCTGCTGCATGCGCTGCTCGCAATGGCCTACTCCCTTTGGCTCGCCTTCTCCCGTGCCTGTCGGGCGCGTGGTGCCTAGTGGCCCAGAGTACAGCAGCCAAGTGGAATCCCTCGGGAACTTGGGGGAGTCAAAGAATGGAAGGGTGAAGCGTGCTCAGATTTTGGCACCAAAAGCAAGACAAAGACCTTGCGTTGTAGAGCTTGCCAAAAACATTAGCACCGACAGCGTTTAAAGCGTGCTACATTTAGCACAGAATTCAAGGTTCAAATACCTGCAGTTTCCTTTCATCGTTTCATGTGCTAAATTCCTTAGCACTTCTGAAATCTCCGGAGGTATCGGATGAAACCGATTGCAGGCCCCGAGATCTCAGTTTCAAAGCTATCGCACGCTATCGGGATGGGACCTGTCGGCCACTCGGTTTACGACGTGGACGTCAGAGCTCCTTTTCTGTTTTCCTCCCGTGTTTGTATAGGCGATTTTGAGGAAGCCGCCGGCACGTGACCGGTCTTGGCCAGTGCTTGTGATCATTTCTGTCGTTGTCGGCATTGTAAAGCCTTTACCCCAGCCAGCCGACCCTGGGACCATAATGTAGCGTAGAGACAGAGCGCAAAATGGGCGGAGAGTTGCTGCATTTGCGCGAGATGCCACCTGATTTCCATATCGGGAAAGAGGTTCGGCAGTTGTGAGAACGGAGGTTTGGCCCATGTTCATTTTTTCCACAAGCTGATCTTATGCAGGGCACAGGGCAGGCCCAGATCGGACTTTGCTTTTTCAGAAGGATAGGACATAAAGCGAAACAATCTCAGGGTGCTTTTCATGGGATATGATTACTTGCCCAGGGTACCTGCCAGTGTACTGACATGCCACCAGACTCAGATGATGGCGTACAGGTTCAAGCACTCATGTCCACTCACACCTCTTTTGGAGATGCAGCCACAGACTCTTAAGCAAAACCCTACGCAGACCACTTGCACACCCAAGAGACCAGGCGGCAGCTTTGCAACTCACGCACAACCACCGAAAAAGATTCCTCCGGTAAAGACATTGTTCTCTAGTTCTACTTTTTGAAACGCACACCACACATGGTCGAAGGCCAACAAGGAGGTGTCTTCGTTCAAGACAAAAAGGAAGCAACATAAACAAAGAAGCACCCTTTTTGGAACATATACTGAAAATGATCAACTCCAAAAAAAAACACAACAAATCTCTTCTCATTAAAATTCAACACACACACACACACCCACAAACTCTCTTTGGGCTTAGGCCGCCTGAAACACAACACAAGGAGTCTTTGTTTACACCCTTCGGTTTTTTTTTGCAATCCCCAAGCTTCACAAGCCGGGTAGACACAACCACCTTCGCCGCCCCCCCCTCCCCTCCCCCAACCCAAACCCGCCACTTCGATGCGATCCGATTCGGATTTCGAGGCACGGGCTGCGGCATGGACCGGACGCGGGTGTGGTCGGGCACCAAGTGCGGCACCAACGAGTTCCTGTCGCTGGTGGGGGCCACGGCCTTCCGGGCGCCTCGCTGAGCGAGTGAGAGGCCTCGCTTGCTGTGGGAGGTCAAGCGAAGAGACGGCCGCCTTTTATAGTGAGACAAGTTGACATAAGTAGAAACGAGTCGAGCAAAGTAGAAAAGACCAGCGAGTCACGTCTAAGTGAACAAAGTGGGCGGGACCTGCGGGGAGCGTGGGCCGTTGGAGGGCTTTAGCGCCAGACCCGGGCCTTCCTGGCAGGGGTTCGACTTTTTTTGGGTCTTTTGTTGAGGCTGAAGGCACATTTTTTCGGGGAGGTTGAAGTGAAAGGAAAACCAAAAGGACACCTGTTAAGCCATTTTTGGGTCCACATCCTACACACCCGGAAAGTGGATAGCAGCTTTCCCCGCCCTGAGCAAGCAGGCAGCAAGCAGACACGCCAGAAGTCTGGGGGGAACGGAGAGCTTGCGAGTTTGGAGCATTTCATTCCGAGAGCCTTTTGGGGAGGCTTCGCGCGCAGAAGACTCCTACTCGATCAGGAGATAAACAAGAACCCACTGCTGAAAGCACAAGACAGAACCACCAAAACAAGAGCATGGCTACCAAGAAGCAAAAAGCAGCGCCGGCACAAAAACAAAAGAAACAACTAAAAGGGGGGGGGGTCGATCCGGCCGAGGGACAGCTGAAGCCGAGATGTACCGTGGCAGATGCCAGGGGCCCCAGCTTAGGCGTGGTTTCTGGCCATAGGGTCTGTCTTCTTTTTTGGGAGCTCGGTGTTCTTTTCTGGGTCGGCTTAAATGGAAACGAAAGGACACCACTCCATTTTGAGGGTACCCTAAAAAAATGACACAGCCTCATACGGTTCCTCAGACACTTAGAGTTGACTGTTCGAGTTTAGAGTTAGATTTTTTTTTTGTCCACATGTCCACCTCCGTTTGATTCCGCCTTACAACGGGCTCAGGGCTTGATTGTTTCGCACTTTTGGCCCCAACCCCGAGCATCCTCCGCCGAAGTTTCGTGGCTGGTCTTTGGTGTGACCGAATCGCCCAAGAGGAGACCGGCTCAAAGGAACGGAACCCAAAATTGGCACCTTGGTAAATGGAGCCTAAAACTAAAACTTGCGTAACCCTAGCCCTATCATTTTGAGCCACACCCGCATGGCTTTTCCATGGTGGGTGGATCACAACCCTTTGCTCGGTCCAGAATCAGGGAGGGAGCGACGAGACCTGTTCGTGTGGATGGAAATCTTGGTTTCAGCCTAAGAATGCGGACAACATTCTTTGGGACCCTCTTTTGGTGGTTTTGAAGGGACTAAAGGAAAACCCAGGCATTTTGTCAGTCCCCTAAGAAAGACCGAGCCTAGTGGACAACGCTTTGAACGCCCCTCACAAAAGGGCTTGGAACACCTAAACAGGAAACGGTTGGAAACCTTGGAAACCCGCAACCCTCCCCAAGGAAAACTCGGAACACTCTTGCGAAACCTTTGAGAGCCCGTTTCCCAACGAACAACTTGGTCTTCAGCCCTTGAAAACCCTCACCTTCAAATCCACACCCTCTTGGACAAACTCTTGGGAAGCCTGTTTCCTCTAAGGACCACCGCTTGTTAGCCGAGAAACCCATGGATCTAAGGGCTGATTCCCCATTCTTTCCAAGTATCGTTCTTTTCGAAAACCGGCCGTTTCCCTTGGTTTCCGGAGGTTTTCTAGAAAGAAGGATCCCTGGAAAGAATGGACATGGAAGGTAGCACTAGAATGGAAAACCTTTTGACCCCCTCTCAGTGACCCCCAGGAGCCTTTGGCGCGTGTCCGCTGCTGCGCGGACGCCCGTGCGCTGCGGCTCCGCTTCCGGCGCAGCGACCGGGACGCGCACGCGCTGCCGGCGGGGTTGCGCCCTGGTTGCGCTTTTGGACTGCATTCCGTTTTCGGATGTTTTCGGAAAGTCGGGGGTGCCTTTTTTGTTTGTTTTGTTTGTTTGCTTGGTTGGTTGGTCGGTTGGTTGGTCGTTTAGTTGGTTGCGTGTTTCTGTTAGCGTGGTCTTTTTTTTTTGTGGTCCTGAGTTTCCGAACTTTGGGTTTGGACCATCTTAATGGGGAAAAAGCAATCCGGACACTTTTTGGTCAATCCACTCAGGAAGCGAGTGTTTGGTCTTGTGTGTGTGTGTGTGTGTTTGTGTTTGTGTTTGTTTTTTTGATTGCGGGAGGCGGAGGAGGGAGGGGAGGGGTTGTTTTTTTTTTTGTTTTGGTGCCGTTCTGGTGGTTCTTGTGGAGGGAACGTGTTCTTTTTTGGTATATTTTTTTTGGGGCTCCAAGGGAACCTTTCTTTGAGGGCATTCCCGAAAAGGGGGTGGCGCGTTCCCATTTTTTTTTGATCACTCTGACCGGATCGCGACGAAAAGATACGAGAGCGTTCCCTTACCCCTGACTGGGTGTGGGTTTGTGTATGCGTGTATGTTTTGAGTTGTTTTGTTAATACCCCTTTTTGAGTTGGTTTTAAAGGGAAACGAGCAGGAGCACAGGAACATCACTACGTTTGCAGGTTTGCCAATATCTTGACACATACCAAAACGTCTCTTGGCGGTTTGGAGACGCTTTGTTCTGGAGGGTTCCAAACATATCCGGGAGTTGCTGTTGTTGTTTGTGGGTCATTGGGGAGGACCAGGAGGGTGGGCCAGCATGCCCTCGCAGAATTGCAACTTTCGCATGTGGGAGCACATGAACCACAACACAACCGACGCCTTCCCTTTTTGGAGAATGCTCAGGTGACGTCTAATCAATGTAGTCCTTAAGCGACTGGAGATGGGCTTGAGCCTGCGGGCCGTGTTCTGCTTGGCCAGCCGGAGCCAAACTGACTCTTCTTGTCCCTCCCTTTTCGGACCATGGAGGACCACTATGTGTGTATATGTCTATATTTATATGAATATTTATGCTGACCCCCGTTCTGAGGAGGGTCCCGGGTGAAGCGACGCGCGGGGTCAGCAACCCCCGGGTCCGGCTCGGAGGGGGGTTCGGGAACGCGTGGCAGGCCGGCTCTGAGGGGTCAGCTTAACATCCGTTGTTCTTGTATCGACCCACATTGGACACTCCCTTGCTTTGGAGCCATTGGCAAGGAGCATTGAGAACTCCGGCGGGCTGATGAACTGGGCGGTGGTGTCAGGCGGGGTCGGGGCTTTGCTTTGTGCCCAAAGGATCTGGGGACTATACAACGTTTAGAGTGTGCGCATGGTTGTTTTGGGGGAACAAACTCCGTTCGGCTGTTGGGGATGCTCCCTGTTCCTCCAACAAGGGCGCGGGCTCGCAGCCCGGTTTCCTACAATCAGCATTTCCAGTTGTGTTGTAAGCACCCCCCTTGGTCTTAGAGGGGCATGACCCCTTGAGGACTGATTTTCCAAGTCCTGCCGGAAACACAAATGCATGCCGTCAACCCGCCCTGCCCCCAACATGCAATTGCCCAAGTGACGACGAGCTTCCCGGTTCCGGGTCAAACGAGGTTGCTCTGAACTTGCTTGGGGCTACAGAACTACACAAATGGATGGTTCTTCATTTCGGCAGTAATTTTCGAGCCAAGGTGCCAACATGTTTTAGTTGTTTGCTCACATTGCGATCCATTTTCCCACGCTGCTGCAAAAATCATTTCTAGTGGACGCCCTTGCAACAATTTCTGGGTACATAAGGGGGTAAATGCTTAGCAATAGTTGGCTACTGGGAAGTTTGTGTTTTGAAGTGCGAAGACCCGATTCTAAGTATTCAGGCCTTGATGGTGCACTTGAGGTGTTCTTTTTTCTTTTTTTTCTTCTTTGTTTGAAGAGGGGGACAATTTCCCGGGGACAATCATAATCAAACAACGCTTTGTGGTTTTTGTTTTGTTGTTGCACAACCGCAACAAGGGCACCATGGCTTCATAAACCCATGGTTGACAAGGAGGGTGCGACCCATTTCAGAGGGACCCCGCTTCTTTGTTTTTGCCTTTTGCTGTACAAGCCGTTCGTGGGTCGCGTAGGCTTGCAAGACGGGGCACCTCCTTGCAGGGCTGGAAATTCCTCTGACAAATCGTTGAGGCACCAACTGGCGGGGGGACTTTGGCTTCTTCCTGCAGAGCGGCATGCGGGGCTTGCTGGCGCCCAAAGACGGCCAGCACTTGGACGTGCTGCTTTCAGGCCGGCTCATGGCTGCTTTTTTTTGCGCCCGTTTTCTGGGCGCATAAACTCCCAATCCAAAACTGGGGGCTCAAACTTCTTCGGTTGGTAGCGCTAGTAGCCTGTTTAGGTGTTTGGGAGAATGGAGCATACACAAATTAACAAGCAGGCGGTCAAATGGGTGTTTTCCAGCACCAGCCAGTTAAACCAAGAGGCTTTGTCCCACATTCAAACAGGGCTTCTTGTGACATACACTTTGACGCCATTGCATGCATTGCCTTTCGCACCAAAAAAGGACATCACCATTTGGGATGATGTTCAGAGTTTCTGCAAGGTTCCAACCACCCCACCATACCACGACCGAAAGTGCTACCCCCCCTTTGGCCCAGCCCAGCAATCCCAACAACCTCAGCACCTGAGCCACTTGCTCAAAACCCGGGTAGATGAAGGTAAGGGCCAACCCTTTTGCCACAAATGGGTCCCTTCGCTGCCTTTTAGATTCCTGAAGCATGGTTCTGGGGATCGACCGCGTCTTTTCTCTGGGTTTGGAGTCTGACTCGTCCGTCGCGACCTGCGCGGCGCAAGCGCCGCCAGGAGTGCACACGGCCCCTCGGGGGGGCATCATCGAATTCTTCTACCGCATCGACTCCGAGCGCCAGGCCGACCTGCTGCGCTTCTTCATCGACGAGCCCAGGGCTCCGTCTGGGGTTGGGTTTGGGGATCGCCGTTTTCTTTTCTTTTTTTTCTCCCCCAAGTCCTGCAAGAAAATCCAGCTGGGTTGTTGGAATATCTCACTTTTTTTGGTTTTGGGGTAGACAACGTATGAAAATACACCTGAGCCTCTGATTTTTTGAGATGTGAAAGTTGCCAATGGTTTGTTCGGGTTTGCCTTTTTTAGGGCCCCCCCCCAAAACAATGGGGTACCCTGAAAGAGGCTGTTTTCCATTTTTTCCCTTTTTGGTTTCCCTTCAAAACTACCAAAGCATGGGGTGCCCGCGAAAAAAGGAGCACTCACTTGGTTCGGAACGTAGAGGAACTTGCTCGGTTCCAGGGAGGGGGCTCGCCAAGTTTCCCTATGTCTCAGGGCACTCGGGAGACGGGTTCCAAGAAAGGACAATCCGATCCCTTGCACCAAAGGACAATCAGGTGTTTTGCGCATCCGATCCTGGAACTCATCTTCAACCGGTCGACCCCAAATGTCGACTCTTGACATTTAACCCATTCCTTCAAGCCCAAAACCGATGAAATCGATGTTTTCTTCCCCTAACAACGGGCGAGCCACCCATTTCGGGGCTTTTGCTTCGGTTCCCCCCCGGAAAAAGAAGATAAACAAAAAAAAAACACAAAACAACTCGCAGCCCAGGAGATGGAGCAGAACACGGGCGGGCTCCCGGCCTCTGGCACCGTCGCGTGGACGAAGGCGTCCTTCAGCTTCTCCGGGTCCAAGAGCCTCGGATCGACTGGCTCGGGGCTCCGCAGATTAGGGAAAGGACCTGGCTCCTGGCTCGCTGTTCGGTGCTGCAAAAGGCAGCAGCCGTTTTTTTTTGGTTGGGGAACCACAGGGAAAGCTTTCCTTTTTTTTTTGGGGGGGGGGGACCCTTGTTGCGATCGGTGCGATAGGTGGGGGATGTGGGAAAATCAGCAAGGGATGGGTTATAGGGGTCCTTCCATTTCTCATTCCCCGCTGAGAACCAGAGAGCACCTTTCACGCGAGGCGGTTCCGAACCAGCGAATTGTCCGGTTCCTTAGGTTTTCAGATGTGTTTAGTTGGTTTTGTGGTTGTGTTTCCGTATTTGACCCACTAAAAGTTCAAACATCTTAGCGGGATATCTGAGGACAGCCCAGTTCAGGTGAGACTTAGTTGGGCTCATTATGTTGACCCGTTTTGGGGTTATCAAAGAAACCGGAGCTGCCAAGCTGTTTTGGAAGGCTTGGTTCCATCTTTACAGAGGCCGATTGGGGGGAGCTTCCTTTGGTTAGTCTGAGGGAGTGTAGCACTTAGTTGGTGGTTGGATTGATGGTTTGGGGATTTGACCCTTTGGGTTTTGTAGAGGTTACATGGGAAACCACTTCTGACCACCCAGCCACCAATCCAAGCCACCAATTGGAGGAAGCTGACGAACCCTCGTTCTTGGGTTTGTCGCACCCGGTGCTTCCATTTGGGTGGCTCGTCAACTTTTGGAATATATATAATTACCCCCCAAAAATTGCTTTGGTTTTCCTCTTGGTTTCCGTTAAACTCAAAAATGGAAGGGAACGGGTCGTTCAATTGTTGGGCACACTTTTAGATAGGAAAACATTGAATATCGTTTGGGATGTTTTCCTAGATTTGTCAGGTCTGTTTGGGCCATGACTTGGTATGCGGCCGATGGACATTGTGGAGCCAGGCTGAGACATGCGCATCGGACATGGCCTCAGGCACTGGAAGAGATCCCCTGCCCAAAAGGACAAGAGCGGTATCAAGAAAGACAGCGGAATTAGTGGAGCTTTTAAGCTTTATGAGTCTGTGGGTGTGCTTTAGTGGTGCTTGCCAACTCCTTTTTTTTAGCAGCCCGCCAAAAAAGCTTTGGGCCCAGCAACATGGCTCTCAGACACGTCCATCCGCGAAGCGAATTGAAGACCCCAGGATGAAGACCCACACCTTCCGCTGGCGCTACGAGCACCTCGGAATCAGAAGGGATGGATGCACCTTGTTGGTTTGGGGGCGGCTTTTCATTGGTTTTTGGTGCCTTTGGAAGTGTTGGTTGGTTGGTTGTGTTGTTGGTTGGTTGGTTGGTTGGTTGGTTGGTTGGTTGGTTGGTTGGTTGGTTGGTTGGTTGGTTGGTTGGTTGGTTGGTTGGTTGGTTGGTTGGTTGGTTGGTTGGTTGGTTGGTTTGGTTGGTTGGTTGGTTGGTTGGTTGGTTGGTTGGTTGGTTGGTTGGTTGGTTGGTTGGTTGGTTGGTTGGTTGGTTGGTTGGTTGGTTGGTTGGTTGGTTGGTTGGTTGGTTGGTTGGTTGGTTGGTTGGTTGGTTGGTTGGTTGGTTGGTTGGTTGGTTGGTTGGTTGGTTGGTTGGTTGGTTGGTTGGTTGGTTGGTTGGTTGGTTGGTTGGTTGGTTGCAAGAAACCATTGTTTGAAGGGGCCCCGACTTTATATTCAAAAAAGGAGGGCCAAGCGTGTCCGCTTTTGCAGTATCCAAATGGAGCCATCAGGCAGATCCTGCAACTGCAATCAAACTGCACCCGCCCCACGATCACTTTCAGTGTGGTGACACAGCGTACTTCCTTCAGCCACGCTTTTTTTGTGAGGAAACAGTCGTGGGCTGCCATTTGGCCTCCCCTCCCAAAGGCATGCTTCAAAAGGGGGGCCTTCAGCTGGCTCCGAAGCAACCAACTGACCAACCGACAAACCGACCAACCAACCGACCGATCGACCGACCGACCGACCCACCGACCGACCATTGAAGGGGGCCCAACTTGATGTACCAAAGGGAATCTTTTTTTGGCCCGAAGACTCAAGGACAGGCAGCGGTGTGACAGATTTTGCACCCTTTTACATCAGTCCCTTTTTTCGCGAGGGGGGGGGGAACAAGAAAAAATAGACTTGGGTTTTGCGCCCGGGAAACATATCAGTCATTCCTTTATTGTGGGGAACCAATGAAAAAAAGACCAGGGTGGCAGGTGCCCCCCCTCGCTCTTCCCCTTGTTTTGGGGTTTTCGCGAAGGGAACAGAGGCTGGGGCTGCCTCCAAAATATTTGTTGATTCAGGGAAAACCTGAAACAAAAGCAGGCCGAACTCCTGCCGTGCAGTACACAATCCAGCCGGTTTCTATGAGTGGCGGGAACATGAGTTTTTGTTTTAGGGTAGACCGTGTCTGAAACAGCATCTGAACAGCATCTGAACCGGTGGCCGGTGAGTTTTTCGCCCGAAGCCGTGGGCCACGAAACAAAATCAGACGCCCGGTGGGAAAGGACATCTTCAAGTGGGGCAATTCGCTCAAAAACGGGGGACCGTTGCGACAGGTGGGTGACCCTCTCTTTTTGAGGCTCGGTACTAATTTTTGCAGGGTTCCTCCGTTTCTCTTTTTGGAACGCGCCAGGGTTCCACTTTCTGACCCCAGTCGACTTGAACCGGGGAAACAATCGTCGACCTGGAGGTTGTCAAAAAATGGGTGTGCCTTCTTTTGGAGAGTGCCAATATTTTCGTGGTAAAGGGATTCCACAAGGACGACCGAACCCGTTTGGGGGGTCCAAATCCCAAGAAAGACACACCCAACCGAGGGCTGTTCAACCCCACTTAGTAGGTCACCACTAGTTATAAGGATCCTGGCCCCAAGTTCTTCCAGAAAGCATCGTGCTACCACAAGTGAAGTGGCATACCATACTGTGTTTTGGGTAGACCACTTTGTCTTCACTGCCTTGCGCCTATGGCGTTTTGGCTCAAGTAGCAGGCTCCCGACTAGAGTAGCTCGGAAAAGGGACAGGCGCTCTTGCACGACGATCTTCTTCACCATCGGGTTTGCCCTTCCGGTGTTGTTGCAGGTTGGTGCAAGGAGGTACTTGCCTTTTCGACGAGTTCTGCTAGGGCCTGTTTGTTGCTGCGATCACTCATTTGCAACTTGCTTTCCTTCCAAGCCACAAGCTTTGACCTGGTCACCAGATCAGCAATCCTGAGCTTTGTTACCGGGTTCCACCCCCTCTACTTTGCTATCATGGTTGAGGAGGTCTGATTCCCGGCGTCATCAAGTTCTGCCCGAAACAACAGGTATCAGCCGTGTGGCCGGTCGCGGTTCCTCGCCTACTTGCTCCACAGCGTCGTCAATGGCGAGTTCGGGTTCTGCAGGCCAGGCGCCCAACGCCGAACATCTCGGCGGGCATTATCCCGAGTCTAATGCTTCCTCAAATTGAGGAGCACCCAGAAGCGGTGGAGGATAGCCAGCAAACCTCCCACTCCCAGGATGGCTTGGCTCGGACAGGAACTGATCCGTCACGTGGTCTTGAGCTAATGACGTGGTCTTGCGGCTGGGCTCCTACATACTGACAACCTCACGCAAGTTCTGCGGGGCATTGCCGGAACATCCCCCGAATCAATTCTTGTCCAAGGTATGGACAAGCCCAGCTTCAGCTCAATTCACAGGTCCGCCCAACCAGATCCACTCGTCATTGAATCCTGATGAGCTCATCGATCCAAGACACCACCACAAATCCAGGTTGTGCCCGAGAATGGGGAAGTACCCCATCTCGTTGAGGACGAGACGGATGAAGAACGAGTCCTCAGATCGAGTGGTTCTACCACAGCCTCATCACGAAGATCATACCACATCCCATGGACCGGGGGGGCAAGCACAGAGTCAGTGAACCATCAATCTTCTTGATATTCCATTTTACAACCCTGCTACTTGATCCTAGTGGGACAGAGACCAAGCCGAGGACCAAGCCTTGGTCCCAGAAAGAGGAGGTATGGAAGGGATGATGCCTCAGAGGTCGATATCTTTTTTGTTGTTGTTGTTGTGCGGTCCGGTTACAAGCTTCTGGCAGCAGTTCTTTTACGAAGGCTGAAGGATGGCGGCGCTGAGAGCCGGATCTGGCCTACACAGTTTGGTTTCCGTTCGGGTCGTGGGACTTCGGATGCGTTATGTGTGGCCAGGCGTTTGCTTGAGGAAGCATGGGGTGCACAAGGCGGTTCTCTTTTGTTCTTAGCTCTTGACTGGGCTAAAGCCTTTGACTCAATATCTCCTGACAGGCTTGTGCATTCATTGTGCCGGTTCGGCATTCCCAAGGCCTTCTGCAAATTAACTGGTTCCATTTATTCAAGGAGATGCTTTCGAGTCCGTGACGGCGGTGTGATGTCTGACTCGCACTCGCAAAAATTTGGTATCTCGCAAGGGTGCCCTTTGTCGCCGTTCTTGTTCTCAATGGTGATGACGGTTTTAATTTCAGATGCGAATTTGGACTTACAACTAAAGCACGGCCTCCCCACCAAGAACACCCCAGTGAGTGAACTCATGTATGCAGACGACACTTTGGTGGTAGCCGCCGATGCTGAAAAGGCGGGACAGTACATGACGTGCATTCAGCGGGCTGGCCGCGCCTACGGCATGGAGCAAGGTTATGGCCTTGCCAGTGCGCTGTGAGATCGAAATCAACAAGCCTGACGGCACGCACGTCCAGTGTAAGGAATCCCTGTGCTACTTGGGTTCCTTGTTGACGGCTTTGGGCTCTATCGCCCCCAAGCTGAGCAATCGAATTGGCGCTGCAAGAGCCGAATTTCACACACTAAAGCGCATTTGGGCACATTCTTCGTTGAGCATTGGTAAGAAGATTCGTATCCTACATGCCTGCGTTCTTTCAAGACTTCTTTACTGTTTGCACACAGCTTGGCTCAAGAAGGCCGAACTCGATGCATTCCAATCCATGTGCTTGCGACAAATACAGGGCATTCCGCATTCGTACATCAGCAGAGTCTCTAATGCTGAAGTTCTACGCAGGGCAGGTGAGCACCCGGTTTCCAAGACTTTACTGCACAGGCAGCTATTGTTGTTGGCTCGGATCGCCGCTCTTCCCTCTGAAGACGTGAGGAGGAGATGCATTTTCCAAGGCGACAGTTTAGAACTTTTGCAGGCCGTGCCGCGTAAGCGCGGGCGTCCCAAGCAAACGTGGGCGTCCGAAGTGAGAAAGCAGGCGTTGCTTTGTGCTGGAAGCGAAGAGCGCTTGCAAGGCTCGTACGTTCTGCTTTTCCAGGGACGGTTAGCGCATCTTCCCTTCCATGCCCATGTGTCACCAGACGCGAGGCCGATATTCGATGATGTGTCATTTTTTGGAGGGTGCAAGTGCAGAGATTTCGTAGTAATCATCACCATAGTTATAAGGATGCTGGCCCCTAAGTTCTTCCAGCAAGCAGCGTTCTACCACAAGCAAGTGAAACTAAGTGGCATACCATACTGTGTTTTGGGGTAGACCACTTTGTCTTCACTGCCACGCGCCTATGGCGTTTTGGCTCAAAGCAACACACTCCCGACTAGAGTAGCTTGGAAAAGGGACAGGCGACATTGCACGACGATCTTCCTCACCGTCGGGGTTGTCCTGCGGGTGTTGTTGCAGGTTGGTGCAAGGAGGTACTTGCCTTTTCGACGAGTTCTGCTAGGACCTGTTTGTTACTGTGATCATTCATTTGCAACTTGTTGCTTTCCCTCCAACTTCCAAACCACTATTTCATCACTTGCCACAACCTTTGACCTGGTCACCAGCTCAGCAATTTTGAGCTTTGTTTCCGGGTTCCACCCCCTCTACTTTGCTATCATGGTTGGAGGTCTGATTCCCGGCGTCATCAAGCTCCGCCCCAAACAACACATACTAAACGGTTACTGGGTCATTTCAACCACACCAAGTGGTTACGACCTCTGCAGGAAGGACGGCTCGGAGTCTTTGGGAAAAGACGTGGCCTGCATCGACGACATCGTGGTGCATGGGATCCGGGGCTTGGAGCCCTGATCCGCGGATCTGCCGCTCGGACGGCGGGAGGGCTCGCTGGGTTTTGGGGGGCAGGTCCCCAGGCTTGCCCCCAAAAGAATGTCGACCCACTTTCTGGGGTGGTTTGTCCTGCAACGTTTTGGGGGGTCCCTAAAAAAGAATCACACATTTTAGATGACAATTCTGGGTAAATGGCGGATATATGAACCCAACCATTGTTTTAACGGCTTAGAATTTTAGGAGAGTTTAAGGGTGATTCTCCAGCAAACCCGGCTTTGACAGGTTTCTTCACATTCGCCCTTTTGTTTTAAACATCACTTGGTTAGATTTAAAGTAAATACGGCTATTCTTTTTTTATGGGGAATGACTCCTCCAAAGTGATTGGTGGACATTAACCCCCACAGGATTTCGATGTCCACCAAAACATCCCCTATTAAAATTCACAGCCATACAAGGAACCCTGCTCACAGGGAATCCTGATTCGGACAGGGTTGCTCATAATTCCCCTGTTGGTAATACATTGTGCTTGGCAACTTACAGTGGTGTTACAGCGAGCTTCCTCTTGGAGAGATGTTCAAATGGGATTGTGGACTTAGGCTCCTGAGGTTGGTTTAAGGGGCAGCGAAAAGAAAATCACTTATGTTTAGGGTTCCTCCATTTCGACACACATATGAAGCAGACGCAAAGGAATCTGACTTTTGGTGCCAAAGCTGAGGTCGCCATTTGCGAGGATCCAGGGATGGCTTTGGAGCGCTCTGTTGGCCAGAAGTCTTTCGGCACGTTTTTGGTACTGACGGGTTCGCCTGCCCCCTTCGAGCTGGTTGGCGACGTTTCCCATGGAGGGACCACCAGAAGCTCATCGGAGGGCATCAGGATGCGATCTGCTGAATGAGTCGCTGGACCTGCCTGACTGCCAGCCTGAGCGCCTGAAAGACGATCCGTGCAGGCGGGGTTTTCGAGAGAGATGAGGTTCAATGCTTGGAGTGAAGTGAATACCCGACATGGATGCTCGATTTGCCAAGTTAGACAGTGGTTGGCAGGGTTAATTCCCACTGAACGGGGGACATATGAATTGGTCATAGTCAAGGTTACCGTTGCAACTTATTAGCTTGGCGAATCGAACGCCTAAGAAACCACAAGAGGCCATGGAACCCGGCAAATTTCTGGAAGACAAGGTTTGGGGAGGACTGCTGGTGGGAGGTGAGGTGCAAAAGTGAAATCCGGATTCCTACATTTTTGGGAATGGGACACCCTCTGCTCATTAGCCAAGGCGGGTTTAGTCATCCCGGGTAAACGTCAACAAATCCGTGACTCATGAAGGGTCTGGGTCAAGCTGCAATGAACCTTGTGCCCACAGCCAGCGAACGTTGCGTGCGGATGAGACTTGCACCCGAACACCCCTCGTTTGGGGAGGAACATCATAATATTCTTTTGTGGATCCTCTTGAAGGTATTTGTCCAGGCAGCCTTTTTTGAGCGAAGCGGATCGAGCTCGCTCTTTCCAGTGCAGAAGTATGGGTGTGGTTCAAAATGAGGGTTGCGGGTTGCTGTTGGGAAAGTCACCTGGGCTTGTTATTTTTTGGGACAAGAGGAGAGATGAGCAACGGTCAATATTTGTCGGCAGAGGGGATAGCATTGGGGCACACGAGCAAAGTTCCGTTGGGACATTGGGGTTTGCTCACCTCATTTGCATGTAAGTTGGGACAATGAGTGTTGACCGATGAAGCCAGCCATTGGACACGCTGAGCTGTCTCAGGTAGTTGTGCCATCCTCACCGTTTGAACCGCAAAAGAGGTGAACCCAAAACCAGCATGAGCAGCTCCCAGAGTTCTCTTTGCTTGGATTGGACCGGTCAAGTGCTTGGATGTTCGATTCGCCAAAGTGGTAAGCCAACCCACTGATAACTGCTGACCGGGTTACTTGCACTTTGGGGGATTTCTGAGTGGGTAATATCCGAACGGTTGCCAACTTATTACTAGCTTGGGCCGAACACCCAAGTTGGCTTTGCAGTGTTGTGACATCTCCACATTGAGCCCAGGTAGCGCTGCAGAACAGCTTTCGCGCACCTCCCGTTCACACGCACTGTCGCTGGGTATGTCAAGAGATGCGAGCAGAGGCGAGGGATTGTGTCATATGACAGGTTCTTGGGTGTTCCTTGGGCAGGTTGAAATTTTGTCAGACTGATTTTGGGGCATTTAGTGTAGATTTGTGTCTCAGTAGATTTAGTAAAACTCTGCCAAGTTGTTCAATGGATTCCACCCGTCTCTTTTGCTTGGGGCCCCACACAAATACTTTGTCAACCCCGCAAAGGGATTCCGGATCACTGGGCCACCAATTTGGAAGAGATGGCAAAAACTGAAATGGACATCACGTTTGTTTGCATGTTTTGAGGTTGCCAACTTGGGTGCTAGATCCACAGCAAGGATGGTTCTTAGTGGAATCCATAGGATTTAGCAGGGTTAAAAACCAGCTCCTCGCATTTTGCGCGAGACCCTGGCCAATGGGTTTGTCTCAAACTTGACCTCGTATGTCCTTTGGGTTTCCTGGTAAAGCCAGCCAAAAGGGCATCCCCAAAACAAGACACAGACATATTTAGATCCCTAAGACGGTTTCGAATCCCAAGCTTCCCAAACTATGTACAGAACCTTTGTGGGGTGTGTACCTGCATGTGAGTGTGTCTCTTTCTAGGGGACCCCCCAAAACGGCTTTGGTTTTCCTTTTGGTTTCCCTTGAAATCCCCCAGAAAGGGGGGTACCAACGCAAAAACATGAACCACAACCACATCAACCCTCAAATGGCGGCTTAGCAGTTGCAACTCCCGTCCCTTGGCTTTTTCGTTGAGACGCTGCTCACATAGGTGATCACCTATTGGGTGTGTCCCAAAATATGGGGAATCCCCGACATGCCTGGTTTCCTTGTGGTTTCCGTTTAAACCAGCCCTTAAAAGGGTACCCTCAACAGAAAGACAAACATTCATTTGAACAATTCCCCTGAACTCCGCGCCTTTTGAGTGTACCACCCTCCCATAGGTCCTGAGCGAGCACGGGGCGCCGCAGAGCTGCGCGCCGCGGGGGCGGCGTTCCGGAGCGGAGCGGGGAAAAACTGCCTTTGAGCGGCTTCCAAGGGGCGAAGCGGTCCGTGGGATTTGTGTGACCCAAACAAGGGATGAGCAAACGCGCAGGGGATGACCATGTACCCAGTTCGTGCAAAATGGTGGTTTCCAATCACAAGCGAGATGTTTTTCTTGTTTTTCCGGTAGTGCTTGATGATAGCCTCAAACCCCCCTTCCTTCTCCCCAAAACGCCCAAGAGGGCAGGCTGGCAGAGCCCCGAAATGGCGCCAATGGACTGCGAGGCTGTCTCACCTCCCCAGGTACAGATCCCAACCAAAAAGCCTCGGAGGATAGACAATCGAAACAGGCTTCCAGCCCAGTTTGGAGCTCATCTGCGAGGACAGTCTAGTTTTGGAGCACCCGGTTTCACCCAGTTTGAGTCGACTCAGCACATGTACGCGTTGCCCCCGACATGGCACGCCTGGAGGGCTTTGAATATCGCCAGGCGCCAGGCCGGTGCCAGAAGCAAGAGGCGGGGTTCCCAAGCGGCGATTTGGTCACCCGCGAAGGTGGATGGGATTGGTTTGGACCTGGTTCTCGTTCGGCAGACATCATCCCCGTACTCCAATAACCCTCCTTAAGCTGGTAAAGGGTTGACACATAATAAAAGGTGGGCATGTGGTATGTGGAGGGTGATACCTTTGCTCCTTCGGGCTTGAAGGGGTTGTTAGATTTTATGTTGGAATCCGCGTTTGCGATGCTACACCACGCCTCCACCTATCCCGCCAGAGCAGTTCGCCAGTGGATCCCGCCGAGTATCCCGTCAGAGCTGGATGGCCTGCTGCTCTGGCGGGATGCTCGGCGGGATCCACTGGCGAGCAGCTCTGGCGGGATACTCGGCGGGATCCACTCAGTGGATCCCACCAAGTATCCCGCCAGAGTGGCTCGCCAGTGGACTTGCCGAGTATCCCGCTGAGTATCCCAGAGTAGCTCGCCAGTGGATCCCGCCGAGTATCCCACTAGAGCAGCCCGCCAGTGGATCCCGCCGAGTATCCCGCTGAGTATCCCAGAGTAGCTCGCCAGTGGATCCCGCCGAGTATGCCACCAGGCAGCCCGCCAGTGGATCCCGCCGAGTATCCCACTAGAGCAGCCCGCCAGTGGATCCCGCCGAGTATCCCGCCAGTGGATCCCGCCGAGTTTCCCGCTGAGTATCCCTTGCCGATGGGATCCTGCCGAGTATCCGGCCAGCATCGAGCCGGAGCGGCTCGCCAGCATTCGCCAGTGGATCCCGCCAGTATCCCGCCAGAGCAGCACGCCAGTCTGGTTTTGCTGAATGTCCAAATGGGCCGATAGGAATTTGGAGTCGAAGTCTCCAGGATGCGGAGGAATTTGCTGTAACGGTCGTAAGCTCGTGAGTGCGGAGGGTGGGGATTGCTCGAAGCGAAGTATTTTTTCTTCTTCTCTCTCTCTCTCTCTCTACAAAGGCCGGTTCAAGTCCAAATCCAAGCCACTAATCCAAGCCACCAACTGAGGGTAGCAGAATGTGCTGTTTGTAGTACCCTCCAGAAACCCATTCGACCATTCGATACTTCGACCCTGCCAGCTCACTTCAGCCAATCCAAACTGGATTGGGACACCCCAGACCCCAGTTGGGCTTGTCTCGGATTGTGGGCTTTCTCTATCAACATAATGCCTTTTGGAATGGTTCTTCTTGGGTTCGCATGAAAACCCGACGGTTCCAACTTGGGTTTTCTATTCAAACCGCCCTCAACACGAGGAACACCCTCCTTTTTGGTTGGCGATCTCCCGACCCAGGGCTTCCGTCCGCGCCCTGAACCCGGACAACTTCAGTGGGGTCTGCGAGCAGACGGGGGTCACGCTGAACCGATACATGATCGAGGTGCGCTTCGTTGGGGAGGGTGGATGGACACGTACTGTGGATGGACAAAATCCGCTCGCACCACTTTGAA